TTCTGAGAAACTACAGCACTTTCACCAAACCATACATATAGTGAGCAACTAATAGCAGAATAGGTAAGTATAATAATAGCTGCATGGATAAATAGATGGGAATCGGAGACGATGGCAATTTTCACAGTTGCTATGGCTGTCAACCTACCGGGTATATTGTAACCAACAAAACTATGGTATTAACAAGAAATTAGACAATGACTTTTTATTCTGTGAACTATTAAATTTGCCATCAATAGAAGATTTTCTGTTCAACTGCAAGATTTCATGAGTTGCGTCGAATGTCTGCGACAACAATTTGATTTTGAACTCAAATTTCTTTATTTCATAGCTCTCATCAAAAGGCCCATCTTTGACAGGGGAATATTGCGTTTGAATACCTTTACTTCATCAAAATTGACCAGCATCAAATATGTACAACACATTATTTGATTTCATGCATACCGCGGGGTCTCGCGATGAACAGAAAATGGTCTATTAAAACCTTGTACAAATTCCAAATGCTTAGTTATAGCTACAGTTAGTTGTTCAGCAATACAAGGAGGGAGAGTGGAAGCTGGGAGAAGTATGACATCACCACACAGTAACCGTAGCAACAGCAGGATCGATCAAGGATCGTGAACTTTGACCTTACCATTGATGACATAGGCTTTCCTTGTATCATTCCATACAGCTCGACATTTCCAAAATTCAGCAATATTCAGTATCGTTTTAAAACCTTTCTCTGATTTTAGAAACTTCTGATCTCCAGTTGATGCGATGTATTGCTGAAGAGCAAACGCAATGTCCCCGGTAATGTGCTGCTCATAGTCACGGGTATCTGGAGCCGGATCTACTTCAGTCCCTGGAGGAAAGAAAGAAAACAATCGAACAACATGCAAACTACTTAGATAATGAAAAAACTGTAATGGCGCTCACCGTTGATAATATACAGTTTTTTTGTTGGATCAAATACAACTCTGTTGGCCCAGAAGTCTGCTACAGCCATTACCAACTCAAATCCCCGATGGTTCGTCAGGAAATCGGTATCCCACGTCACTGACAGGTACTGTTGCAGTGCATACGCTATGTCTCCAGTAATGTGGATCTCATTTTTGGAATAAATTGGTCCAGGGCAAACTTCTACACCTGACAAATATATGGTAGAAACATAGCAACCACGACAACAAATTTTCACTCAGTGTCAATTGAAACAAGATAAAAAAAAATACATGTCAATTAATAATTGGATTGACAAGTTAGATTTATAAGTTTTCTATCCTTGCCTGTTGGAAAAAAAGTTTTGTTACGAATTTAGTGTGGATTATGTGTTGCATTTTTAGATATTTTTGTACAAGGCAACACTTTTTTGCAAATGCTCAAACGTAAACAATGTATTTTGTCCATAAAAACCATACTACAAATCTCCTAATCTAATTATCTGTATTATGGAAAGTTAAAAATCTGTGGTCATAGCAGTTTGAAGAACACCAATCCTAAACATTACAAATTTGCTTCAATATGTAGGACACGCTTTTAAAGTTGCTTTCTGGGTCCTGAATAGTACGGGGTATGACGCACTAGAAAGTGAAAGAATACTGACCAGTATAAGCGCTTTCCCATGGGAACTTGGCACCAG